GCATTCATTGGTTGATTCTTGTACATGCCCTGACCAGAAATCGAACCTGCAACCTTGGCGTATCAGGACGACACTCTAAGCAACTGAGCACCTCACCAGGGCTCCAGTGCCTAATTGTGCCCCCATGCCAAGTGGCCTCCCTGCGGATTCCGGTTCCAGGCCCTGGATTCCTTCCCGGCAGCCTCCCCACACTGACCGAGTTCGTCTCCTTGCAGGCACTGGGAGCCTGGCTGCTGCAGTGGAGACCGCCTCGGGACGCCAGGCCCTGGTGGTGGGCAAGCCCAGCCCTTACATGTTCGAGTGCATCACGGAGCACTTCAGCCTGGACCCTGCCCGCATGCTCATGGTGGGCGACCGCCTGGAGACCGACATCCTCTTCGGCCACCGCTGTGGCATGACCACCGTGCTCACGCTCACGGGCGTCTCTCGCCTGGAGGAGGCCCAGGCCTACCTGGCGGCCAGCCAGCATGACCTGGTGCCCCATTACTATGTGGAGAGCATCGCAGACTTAATGGATGGGCTGGAGGACTGAGCCCACCTGATCTGTAACCGCAGCCCCACCCCTGCCCTACCCTGACCCCATAGATGGAGGTGACGGGCCAGGAGCTGCATTAATTGCCACTGGCTCTCCGGCCCCAGTTTCCACACCCTGGTAGGGCTGGGACCCAGGGAAGATTTTAGGACCCTTGTACCCCCAGGGGTGGCTGAGCTCACTTGGCTGCTGCCCTTGCCGCACTGGTTTGCCCTGGCATGACCCAGCCAAGGTGGCCTTATTTCCTGTGACTTCCCCTTGTTGAAATCTGGGCCCCGATGGCCACTGAAGATTTCCCCCAACCCTGAGCTCTTAACCTCCTCACCTCTCCCTGGGGCCTCCAGAGCTCTACCTGCTCCCCATGTCCTGGCTTTGGGTTCCTGTTGACCAATCAGAGGTCTAGGTAACCATAAATCGTATTGTCCCGAGCCCTGAATGGACCAATCAGAAGGCTAAGTCATAGTGCTTCATTGATGTTGGGTCCTGAGTTGGCCAGTTGGGAGCCTAGGTAACAATGACCCTGTGATGTCCTGGAGCCTGACTGGACCGATCATAAGGCTAAATGATAACGGGCCTCTCATATCCTAGACCAGTGATGGCGAACCTATGACACGC